GCCTCGTAACCGTTTATGGATTGCAAAAATGGAACAAGCACAGGGTTGGCATCTGCAAGGAGCCCGCTTCCCGTCGCCGCCAATGGGCCACCGCTATCCGTGAAGCTGATCCATCCAAAAACAGGAGCTAATCGGATCAAGTACAAGTACGACTGGACACAGTAAACATCAGGCCTAGCTTCGCCAGTGGCCATTGCTGCCTGAGACAGCAACTCTGGGCCCTCATTCTGGTGACTTCTGTCTTCTACCTCCAACCTGGGATTCGACCTGATGATTGCAGTGTTCTGAGCACAACCACAACTTAGATCCATACAAGTCTAGTAGACGTTCTTTTATTGTCCTTCCTGACATCCTTCGAAACAATTCCTGAGCCTACAGGGTCTCAGCGATTCACATAAACGAGAACGTGTTTTTTCAGAGGCTGGACAGAGGTAATACCCACCTTGAGACGGATACCGGAACAGGGCTTATGTTTCGGAGGAGGCAACAGTCACCTCCCTCTTCTATCTTCATGCAGTCGATTGAAGTGTTCAGCGAATTGTGCTGGGCACTTAATGAGATGTCCGCAGATGCTCTGAACTTAACTAGGGCATATGCTTTGCCCGCCGGAAAAGAAGATTCGGACAGACGGTAACGAGTATTTTGCCATTTACAAAGTTATGCTTCCAATAGGTCTCTTGAATTATGCTACAAATGCGGTTACCAGGGCATCTAGACAGTAGGGTATCCTGCCTCGGAACTTTTCCTTACCCAGCTGGGGAGCGATCTCAGACAAACACCTCTAGCCGTCACCACCTGCTAACTAGTCCTGAAAGTCGATTTGGCAAACATATGTTTTCAGCAACTCTTCATCAGGCCAGTAAATTTTCAGCGATTATGAAATTGTACAGTTGCATAGGGTTAATAAGTGTACTTGGATTACACGTAAAAGTTATATTCTCGTACACCCTGTCGATACGAATCACGGAGTCGATACCAATGAAGCCTCTCAGGTTGTCTACTGGACACCACCTAACTTGTCCAAGGGCCTACGCCAACGGAGGCTTGCAACAGCCGAAGCAGTGGCTATACGGCTAGCGAATCCAGTACTATGTGGTCAGAAGACGCTAACACAAGCACTTTCACTTCCGTGGCCGACCCTGACGCTAGGTGGTCACCGCATCTCGCTCCCACACCCTAGTGACAATCGTTCGCTCCGTGCAAATGACAGTAATTATCACTCCATGCACCAGACCCCTGACCAATGTCCACAACCTAACCCAATTTCCTCCCTTCACCCAGCACAAGGACTTCTACACGCCGATCTAGCCATGCGGGCGGCGTGAAAACGATGATTTGTAGTCAAAGTACACTTATTACCCTCTCCAACTGTACAATTTCATAACCTCTGCAAATGTACTGGGCTGATGAACAGTTGCTGAAAACATATGAAAACACAGGAATACTTGCCACCTCAAACGGCAAGTTTTGAATGAGGATGTGTTGGACATAAATAAAACGGCACAGACTTTCAAGTGAGTGGTAAACATTTACTCGCAGAACTTGTCTTTCAAGTGGCAGGCTCACTCGCTGTAAGGTAGGTACCGCTGGCAGTTGTGACCGCGCGTACAACGCCAAACAGATCTCCTACGATCAGCTCTTCCAGCCTCCACCGTCTTTAGTTGCCCTACGCACAATCACGGGTTGCCATAAATGTCGCCTATCGATCATTTTCATGCAGAGGCCTCTGTCCTACCGGTCGCGTCTCACAACGCACTCTTAGGCCAGCATTTCTGGTGGACTTGTTCGCAACCCGGTCATCCTAATCACCACCGTTGCCACGCTTCTTAACCGAAGCCGCAGCGTTCGGTCGTCTATTCGAACTCTCCACAAGGAAGCTGTCCTCTCATGTCTCTCGGATCTACCCGTTGATGGCTCTGCCATGATGACAGGCTTCCAGCGTCTTCGCCAGAGAGCAGTTTTCGAGGAAAAACGAGGTTACAACCCCCGGTCCTTTTAGACGGCTATCCACCTCCGATTGCAGGCTCAGAACAACAAATCCCGGGGGTCACTCGCTGTACTGTGGGTCAACTACGCAGTGGCTACTCAATGGCCCTTCGCCAGTACCAACACAGGCTCGAACCGTCCACACCCGACAGCTGTCCCGACTGCGGCGTTTCTCCGCATGACTGTC